TTACCCTGAGGGGCTTTATACATATGGGCCCTGATCTTCAGAAGCCGCGTCGCCATCGAAGGGCATCTTAGCGAGCGTGGACAGAGTCTGAGGAAGCCGGCCGTCTTCACCACCTTCAGCCATCCTGCGAGCTATGCCACCCGACGACGTATCCTTTCTAGGGCATTGTATCTTGTTTGTGAAAAGCTTCACAAAAGAGCAGCGAGCATCTTTTTCAAGATGCCTCGCACCACCTGCGGTTCTTGCCGCGCCCCTCTCAGCGACGGAGACCGCCATCTTCTTTGCGCTCTCTGCCTGGGACGGGAGCACGCGGAGCTCGCTCTCGCTGACGGCGGATGCGATCTCTGCGAAGAGCTGCCGTTGTCGACCCTGCAGGCTCGACTCGAAGCTTTCAAGTCTGTTGCCGCCGCGCCTTCTTTCACCTTGCCACGCAAGAAGAAGTGGCGCTCCCAAAGGCCGCCGGAACCCCCCATGGAAGCGACCGTCTCGCCAGAGCCTCGAGCCTTGCCCTTGAGCCTGTTATCTCCTTCTCTGCCTTCCCCGGACGCACAGTTACCGCCGAGTGGCCGCTCTGCTGCCTCGGATGACCCACCCCGTGGGTGTTAAGCACAATAAAGCTAGGCTATCTGTTACAGTTCCGTCGCCGGCCTCCCCGCTTCAGAGCGCGGCTCGAAACTACAGTGAATACGGAAGCAGCCAGTCTGCTCCGTTCAGAAATAGCAAAACTGTTGTGCAAAAGGGCCATAGAGAGAGTTCCGCCTTCTCTGAGCGAGTCAGGGTTTTACAGCCGTTATTTTCTTGTCCCCAAGAAAGACGGCGGCCTCAGACCGATCTTAGATCTCAGATTTTTGAAAAAAGTGCTCGCGAAGAGACCATTCAAAATGCTCACAGTCAAGAAACTCCTCGCGCATGTGCGCCAGGGGGACTGGTTTATTTCTCTCGATCTGAAAGACGCTTATTTTCAGATTCAGTTGAATCCCCGTCACAGGCCATTCTTGCGATTCACCTTCGACGGCCAGGTTTGTCAATACACCGTCCTTCCATTCGGCCTTATCATTCCACACCTTCCTTCCATTCGGCACCCCGTACATTCACGAAATGCATGGATGTGGTGCTCGCACCCCTGTGGAGCCAGGGTTTGTGAATCTTGGACTATCTGGATGACTGGCTGATTTTGGCACAATCACACACAGAGCTTCTGTGTCATCAGACAGTTCTCCTCAATCACCTGAGCACGTTGGGCCTTTCAGTCAACTGTACAAAGAGCTCACTACAGTCCAGTCAGGCGATTTCCTTCCTAGGAATAGAGCTAGACTCGGTGGCTATGACGGCTCGCTTATCAACATAGCGTGCGCACCGTGTTCAGCAACTAGCCGATTCTTTTCAGGTGAACGCCCTTACGCCTCTGAAAACTTTTTTGTAACGCTGGGTTACATGGCCTCAGCCTTCGCAGTTCTCCAGCTGGGGTTACTGTGCATGCGCCCGCTTCAACTCTGGCTGAACACCCGTGCGACTCGCCGGGCATGGGTCACAGGCCGCCAGCTGATCAAAGTAAGCTCTGCAGCCACGGACAGTGGCCGAATGGTTTCAGCTGGGCGTGATTATGGTAGCAGTTTCTCGCCAAAAAATCGTCTCGACAGACACATCAGACACGGGTTGGGGCGCGGTCTGCGAAGGCTCACTGGCATTTGGCCTCTGGTCAGTTCAGGAGAAGCTCCTTCATATAAATTGTCTGGAAATTATAGCGTCTGCTCGGACAACAGAGCTGTGGTATCCTACCTAAATCGTCAGGGCGGAGTCAGATCCAGGAACCTCTTCCGTCTGACAGAACGCATACTAACATGGTCCCAGTGCCATCTGCGTTAGCTGAGAGTGTGACGTATGTGCCCAGCCATTTCAACGACGGACAGACTGTCCAGGAACAATATTCCCCCAGGGGAATGGTCCCTGCACTCTCAAACAGTCCAGATGTTGTGGCGAATATTCGGCAGAGCAGAGATAGACCTTTTCGCGTCAGAAGAGAACGCTCACTGCCCAGTATTTTTCTCAAAGAGCGAGGACTCGCTTGTCCAGGACTGGCCCAGCTGTCCGCTTTATGCCTTCCCTCCCGTCTCGCTATTACTGCAGGCATCATAATATAGAGGATCAGGGAAACATGGAAACGTTTTCCTGACTGCACTGTCGTCAGTTAAACATGTGGGAGACCTTCACGCGCTCTCTGTTAGCGCTGCGTGTCTCGAGTTTGGACCTAATGACTCTATAGTCGTTCTAAAGCCTAGACATAGCTATGTCCCCAAAGTTATTGGTAGGGGTACCTAGCTCTCTATCGGCTCTGCCAGCATCCGATAGCGAATGTGATGCCAATCTCTTTTGCCCAGTTCGAGCACTGACACGCACTGCCTCGTACAGACATTCTGAGCAGCTTTTCGTTTCGTTTGGTGGGCATACTAAGGGGGTAGCCGCCTCGAAACAGACACTGTCCAGATGGATAGTTGATGCTATTGCGGCCGCATACGCATACAAAAGACCTGCCATGTCCTCTGGGCATTAGGGCTCATTCCACTAGAGGCATGGCCTCGTCGCGGGCATGGTCCAGCGCAGTGTTTCCCAACCCTGTTCCTGGCGGCACACCAACACTGCGTGTTTTCTTTGTCTCCCTAATCAAACACACCTGATTCAACCCATCAGCTCATAATCAGGTGGGTTAATGGGCTGATGGGTTGAATCAGGTGTGTTTGATAAGGGAGACAAAGAATACACGCAGTGTTGGTGTGCCGCCAGGAACAGGGTTGGGAAACACTGGTCCAGCGGGATTTCCATTCACGACATATGAGTGGTAGCGGGATGGGCTTCCCCCTCCACCTTTGTCAGATTGTACAATCTGGAAGTGCCCGCCTTTTAGGCTAAATTACTAGCGGTCTAGTACGCTACAGCTCTCCTGGTTGAGCTACACTGATGGGATACAACCCACACAGACTGGCTTAGCCACTCTGTTTTATCATCCCACTATGTGCTTATTTATTACACAATCACTGGCCCGCACTCTTGCCAGCTTCATTATTCATATGTACATACATATTCCCCACTTATAAGGGCTCCCCTGGGTACGAGAGAACCTCTCGTATGAGAACGAATCGGTTATCTAACGTAACCTCAGTTCTCTCTAGATGAGGGAACGAGTATTGCGTTCCCGGTCGTGCTTGCGCCACGAGCGTTTTCCGCTTCATTCTATGAAAACCAGTTAGGCAGCCTAAGACTCGCACTTTTATACACGCTGGCCACGCCTTTTCTGGCGGGCTAGGATGCAATGACGGCATGTCCGCCTCTCATTGGTCGCGAGTTCATGCGAGTTCACTCATAGGCTGCAGCAGTTGCCGCAGTGCAACCAATGAGCTTGCTAGCTAGCCCGCTCACAGTCTGCAGCTGCTGCACTGCGTTGACGATGGATACAAAAATTAGGATAATTGTTTGGCTTTAAAAACGATTAATCTTTCCCATAGCGTAAGCTAGCTTACGCAATACTCGTTCCCTCATCTAGAGAGAACTGAGGTTACGTTAACCGATTCGTTTTGCTCAGTGAATTACAGATCAATGTCACCTATTTTTTTTTCTTCTTTTTTTTGCAAATGCATGAATTTGATTCAAATTCAGTTCTACAGTATAAATTACTACACCTGCTGTTAATATTTACATACTGTAGGTCAGGTAGAAAAATTGCCCATAGGTTGTTTTAAAAGTTAAATTGATGAGACCAAATAAACAAGCTTTATGCATTATGTTTGTGATTTGTGTCATGACTATTATGTCCTAATTATAAAATATAAAAATCACATTTTCCCCCCACATATTTCCGGAAATTACCACCACAAAGTCCTTTTGATCGCAACAATCACACAAAAACATCACAAAGTCCTGGAGGGACTTATTGTAGCCACAGAGAATGCAAGGTCATGCAGTGAGCACAATACAATCAACTATAGATTAAGCAGCTTCAATATGATTGACCTACATTTCAAGGGCAAAAAACTGTTGGCTGAGAATTTTAAAAATTAATTATGCAATACAACCCTCTTGCTTTGATTTTTAATGTAGTAATATGGTGCAGCTTCACCATACTGGTAATGGAATAACAGACAATCGTATTGGAGAGCCACAAACACACACAAATACACACAAACATCTTGTTGCATTAAGTACATAAGTGCCAAGCAGGTCACAGATCAATCAGAATTAACAGCAGTCCACCCACACTCAGGTCATCATTTTAAGTAGCTGTCTGGTTTAGTTTGAGTGTGTGAGACAGAGAGAGAGAGAGAGAGAGAGAGAAACCACCCCCTATCTCTAAAGTCAGCTGGCGGTCAGCTAAAGTATATAAAAGTCGTGTTTCAGCATGGAGGGAGGCAGTGATCTTTTCACAAATTAACATTTAAATGTGACTGGACAGGCACCACCACCGGCCTAACAAAAATCAACGCAAGGTGTTTTCTTTATAGATCTAACGTGTTTTTCTTTAGATTACAAAAAAAAAAAAGACCAGCAATATTCCTAAAAATGACAAAATGCAAACTAAGGGAATTTCTGATAATAAATGGGAACAGTTATTTGGTTTACATGTTGTCTGGTGCTGTGCAACCTGGTTGCGTGGAAACTGATCTCTCTCTCTCTCTCTCTCTCTCTCTCTGAAATTAGTAGCTGATAGACTAAAAATAGAATTTGCAAAGTACAGTTGTAAATAATGAGATGGGTTTCAATGATCTGTGGTGTGTTTATATTATTAAAATATATATTGTTTTCATATATATAATGTGATTTGTTGAATTATGTGTTCTTTTAAATAAAATGTTGTACCCACCTCTCTCTCTCTCTTTCTCTCTCTCTTTCTCTCTCTCTTTCTCTCTCTCTCTCTCTCTCTCTCTCTCTCTCTCTCTCTCTCTCTCTCTCTCTCTCTCACACACACACACACACACACACACACACACACACACTCACACTCACTCACTCTCCGCATCCAGACGCATCCTCGGCTCGCTGCGGATCTCCAGCTCTAAACTGGACGGACTATTTACGCAAATGACAAATGCCGAGAAGAGGAGAGGCGATTTTAAAAGACAGAGAGGAAAAATGTAAGTCGTTTTTATGTTTGAATGAGAAGCACAGTGAATTTCGGTATTAGGCTACTTCCGAACGCGATTAAACGTTAACATATGCAGTAGACCTGATAGGTTCCAATTAATTAACTATTGGTTTTATTTGTAATGCGTGAATGAAGAACAACTGTAGCTAGTAATTTTAACTAATATTTTGACTTGAATAAAACGCATCACAAAGTTAAGCTGGATCTCTCAACATGAAGCAGTTGTCTCATAAAAAAAAAAAGGGAAAATAACTTGTATTTTTATTTATTTTTTATATTTAAATTCATACGTAACTGATGTCAGTTCACTTAATTTGTCAGTTGACTGACAATTGCTTTATGGTTATTAATAAGTCAATGTAGATTATTGATTAAAAAATCTGTTCAAAAATAGTTCAAGTTGGCATCCAGGGCTCTGTGTAAACTATCACACACTCCAGCATTCAGGAGCACTCAGACATTGTTTGAAATGAATTATTAAAGAAGACTAGAGACGAGGATGCACAATAGTTTGTAAGAACTGTTTCTTAAGGTCAAAGCTTCTGTTGGTTTCATTAACATAAACTAAACCAAATGATGAGCTGCCGTACTTGTATTTATACAACCAACATGCTGTTTGGTGTAGGCTTATCAAGCAACTATTATACTATAGTTGTTTTTCTTTTTTGTTTGTTTGTTTTACCACCAATCTCTGCTATCTCACACACATTTTACCTTTACACTACGTATAAAAGTGAAAAAGTGCAGTTGTTACCGTAAAGATATTTCTACTTGATCGGGCCCTGAAAATTATTTAATGTTTTAATATAACATTATGTAAATTAACAATTTATGTAATTGAACATTTATTCATAAAACCTGTAGAGACATTTTAACATGCATCTCAGGGATGGTTGCTAAATTGGCACCGGACCCCCCAAAATTGCGGCCATCTTTACTTATGGGCAGTTGGTTTTTGAAGATCTTGAGCCTATAGAGTGCCGAAGTGATGACGTCAGTTTGTAGGACAACTCGGGCCGCATGGGTTCCCTTAGTCAAAAAGCTATGCATTTTCCCCATAGACTTTTGGAAAATCGCAAAAAATAAGATCTGTGTTTAACAAAGAGTTGTGACCCTTACACGTTTTGTCTATCAAGATAATCTTTACAAGTTAATCCAAAATTTATACATTTTGAAGCCTAAATAAAGATTTTAAAAAAACAGAAGCAGACACAATAAAGTTAAAAAAAAAACACAAGCCGGTTATAGCTGTGTGTTTGTCAAAACGTGAAAATATTTAGAGGCTTTTTTCACCACAGACCTTATTCAAGACGATTTAGCAAAAACCCATTCAAAAAACCCATAGACTTTAGAGTGAGGGAACCGGGAGTGCTAAAATGCTAACTCACTTCCGCGTTTTGGCCTACAGAGTGACGTCGTAACTTCGGCACTCTCTTACTTGAGCCATAATTTGAATGTGACTAATCCCGCTGCAGAAAAAAAATGACACCATGGCAACTCTGATTGGCTAATGGCACCACAAGAATGTGCATCCAAAGAACCTTGAACTGTGATGTGAAAGGAAGCAAACAGGAGCGGGAAATAGTCAATTTCATTTGAATACATTGATACATTTGAATGGCCATATGTGCATTGATTTACTTTAACTTCAAGTCATGTTAGAGCTCTCTAGAGTCAGTCATGTACCAGGCTGTTTTGTCTCATAATGCTTACAATTCAGAAAGAGCAACAAGAATAACTGCTTAAGAAAATGACAAAGTGGCAATATCAGGCCAATTGTCACCCAAGTCAAGTTCAATCTAATGACACGCCATTCAGTACACTTCAAATGAGTTCAGTTCAGCTCTGTCAAAGCTTCTATCCACCTTTCCTGTGCCTACGCAACATGATATCATGACTTTTGCATAAACATAAAGTGGCGTGTTATCTATGCGCATTTTGAGCTATCCGCGAGAATGCGTGTACGTCTACGCCGTTAAATGTTGGAGTGATTCCGCGTGTATGTACACGCCTTTAAATGTCCGAGCGAAACGAAGCAAAATGTAGATCTACATCTGGGGTGCCATATTGTTTTTCCTAGGTTGATTGGGGTTAAAACGATTTATGAGTCTTCCCCTGTGACGGGAAGGTTTAGGGACGGAGTTGGGGTACGTCGTATATTTATATATTCAGTAATGTAACGTTAAGTCAGCTGCGTTCATAAACACACTGAAAAGCGATTATGTGTGTTGATAGCACGTCAAAAATGGAAATACGAATTGGCGTGTCAAACATTCGCCATTACTCCACTGTATTTTTCATTCTCTTCACTATTTACTTGTTCGAGAGTCTGGAGAAATCCTATGAAATTCATTGACAAGTCAGTTAGGAATTGATGAAGACAAAAATATCTGTGTACATGTCTAGTCACAAAAATCACATGAATTCCCACACTTCTACTATCGGCATAGCCATGTTTTTCAAAAGAACATAATGCTAGATAAGTTATGCAGCCGACAAGCATAACTATAGTAATAGGCAAAAAATAGTAATCATATGTCTGTAATTTGCGAATCTCATCCATATGTTCGTTAATATCACTATTTACATTTACTGTTTTACTTTCCTACTCCAATCTGAACCTATTTGTTGGCCTTTCATTGCAGGATCAGGGTCACATGAGTTTTCTCCCCCAAAATTATCGGAAACTGAACCTTTTAACCTCATTTTTCGTCCTTCTCTTCTTTCTTCTCTTCTGTAATGGAAGACTCGCTCCTCAGATTCTCTTGTTTCCTCTCTTGTTCTCTCTGTTGAATCATGTAAACATCCTGTGTGGTTTCTCCTCCTCTCATGTCTCGTTTCAACCTTTACTCTGTGCATCTCTGTCCATTCAGCTGTTACTGAGCTTTCATTGGTTTTTTTTTCTGTCTCTCTCAGCTATACTTCTCTCCAAATCTCTGTTTTAGCTCTTCGTTGTCCTCATCTTTCACTGTCTGTCTGTCTCTCCTTATGTGTCAGGCCCACACTATCACTTGCGAAAATGTCATGACAGAACCTTGTTGTGTATTCATGAGCGGTACAGTTTGGGGTTTGGGACTCTTATCTAATCTCTAATTTTTCCTAAGGCCAACCTTCCCCACTTTAAGAAAGAAAACTTTATGGGACAGCAAAGCTAAAATAAAAAAAAATACAATTTTCCTATAAACCTGGGTAAATAACTTTCTTTGTTTTGTTTTTTTTTTTTGTTTTTTGGCAGGGAAAGACTTTGGTCAATGAAGCATGAAAGCTAAAGTAACGTCCACCTTTCTCTCTTTCTCATTCTCTCTCTCTTTCTCAGCCTTCAGTGTTTGCGTGGCATTTCAGCTGCTTTTGTAGAACGTCTTATTTCCCCCTCCCTTCAACAAACAGTCCCTCCTTTAGGAGACTCCCACTTGTTATGTGATACTAAGAGGTAGGCCTACTTAGAGATCGATTTCATTTTTAATCTGCGTAAGTGGACAGTGGCGGGTCCGCTGCCATTTGTCAACTACAAACCCAGTGACTTTTATTGTTTCTGGATTTGTTATTTAAAATTGAGAATTATAAGTTACATTTAGTAACAATTTACTTCAAGAAAACAAACGAATTATCCATTCAGATGACTTAATCCATTTGAGTTGAGAATATAGAAATGATTTTACTGTGGAAACAAAGACATCTACATCTTGGATGCCCTTGAGGTAAGCTAAAACACATCAAAAATTTATTTCAAAGTGAACTATCCCTTTAAGTGTCTTGCTCAGGGCCACATTGGTGTCTCACAGTGGATTCGAACCCGGGTCTTTCACACCAAAGGCATGTGTCTTATCCACTGCGCCATCACCATTCCTTTTAGAATGGTGTGGTTTTACCATCAGAACATTTTTAAAACCATCTGGTCATTAGCATTAGCATCTGGTCATTCTTAAAATTTGGTAAATACAACCTCAGATGACACTTTGTCATTATTTATTTAACAAAAATAAAGCCAAAACAGAAAAGCCATGGGTGAGTACACCCTAAGATTCAATTGCTTGTAGAGTCACTTTTAGCCGCAATAAGTTGAAGGAATCATTTTCTGTCTCTCACATCGTTCAGTAAGAATTTTGGCCCGCTCTTCTTTACTACGTTGCGGGTATTTTTTATGCACAGCTCTCTTAAGGTCCCGTCACAACATTTCGTACAGCCTGGACTTTGACTGGGCCAGTGCAACACCTTGATTCTTTTGTTTATTTCAGCCATTGTGGAGTTTTTGGTGTTCTTGTGATGATTGTCCTTTGGCATGACCTAATTCCGGCCAAGCATTAGCTGTTACTTTGGTATAGAGTGGAGTTCATGGTTGACTCGATGACTGCAAGGTGCCCAGGTCCTGTGGCAGCAAAACAAGCCAAAAATCATCAAACCTCTATCAGCGTGATGGACAGTTGGTCTGAGGTGTTTGTGTTGTTTAGTTTTCACTTAACTTGGTGCTGTGCATTATAGTCAAACATCTCCACTTTGGCCTCGTCTGTCCAAAGGACTTTGTTCCAGATGTCTTGAGGTTTGTTCAGATGCAACTTTTCAAACCTAAGCCATGGCAACCCTCTCCTGGCAACTCTTCCAAACATGCCATACTCGTCTCATCTTTTTCGAATTGTGTGCCATGAACTTTAACAATTTACATGTTGACTGAGGCCTGTAGAGTCTGAGGTGTAGCTACTGGGTGTTTTGCGATTTCTCTAAGCATTGCACGGTCTGACCTTGGGGTGAATTTGCTGGAATGTCCATCCTCTCCTGGGAAGATTGGCAACTGTGTTGAATGGTTTCCACTAGTGAATAATCTTTCTCACTGTAGAATTATGGACTTGTCAAATAACCCTTCTCAGATTGACGGCTGCAACAATTACTTTTCCATGATTTATAGAGGTGGTCACAATTGTTGATGAAGAATTAAAGACATTTGATTAGCAGTGCCTGACTGCTACTTACTCTCTTAATTCATTTGGAAGCAGT